AGTATAAAAATGTCGTTGCCTTCAAAAATTTGATTGAGCTAAGCTGCCGAATACATTCGAAACACTTTTCAAAAAGTAAACTCATCGTTGTTATATAGTATGCGTTATCAAGTAGTTTTTGACACAATAAATTACAACTGCTTGAATATTCAATAGGAGGGTGCAAAACTCCTCATTCTTTACTGGCTTAGATCCTGCTTACGCGGATATACACGAGTTAACAACACCGTGCCAGACGTTTTTTTTTTCGCAATTCAGCGCCAATTTTTCTGAACCTGGCTCCAAAGTGCAGCGAGGTCCTTTCTACCTGATCTCTCTAACGAAATGGTTGTTTTCCTCTTCCTCTACTTCCCCCGGCGGGTACTGCGTCGAAAAGAAYAACTGCAAAACTCCTACTTGTAATATAATTACTACATGGATAAAAAGCCTGCACTTGMTAGAGGCCAACACGAATAAAATAACTCTGTTGATATAATATCATCTATTGATAGCTATAGCCCACTTGACTCTATTTGGCTGCCAACAATATCACGTCACATCTGCAAAGTTTTTTTTTTTTGTCTATTTCCTGTGAGGTTATGTAAAGTGTCTAAAATCTATGCGAACAACCCCACTTCAATTCAGGCCGTGGAGAAATACATCACGCGTGTSATTCGCSAGTTACCAGTCGAAATACTCGAACGAGCCATCGAAAATTCTACTCAATGGATGGAATATCTTAGACGTGGCCGCGACCAATATTTGAGAGAAATAATATTCAAAAAATAAAAGCCAAAGAGTATTCTTTTGAATAATAATAAAATTTACAAATTAAGTTTRAAGTTTATGTGTTTTTTCTTTATAAAAGAAGGGAACCTTGAAATGGATCACCTTTTATATGGTCATTAATATAATTACGGAAATATGGATATTACTAATGCTAATGTTAGTAGATAGCACAATTTTGCTAATTGAAACTTAAAACAGCACGTACCTGSGCTCTACAATGTGTGAAGAAAGACAGATAGGCTTTGCAACATTATCAGTTGAAAGTGGTTTTTTAAAAATTATTAATTTTCAATCCAACTGTATTTTGAATGAAGTTTTGAAGTTCGATATTATGTTTTTAGCTCAACTTCAACTTTTATGAGGCATTGTCATTTTCGACAATAGTATCAAAAATTTTCAACTATTACCAAGCAGTTGTAGTTGAACATTACTACGTTTATTTAAGAAAAATATTAATAATGTAAAAAAAAAWTATTTATAATTTTAAAATATTTTTATCAGTTATTTTATACAAATACATAGAAAGGTGTAAAAGTTGTTTAGCCTCTGGAAAAAAAAATGGCAAGCTAAAATTTGGTAAGAGTAAATACAACAAAAAGATAATGTAAGTGTTTCCAGCGTAAAGAGTGGGTACAATATAYTATTTCGAGGAATAAACTTTTTGAATAAAACTAAATTTATGATTTTTATTCGTTATCCGTTATTTGAAACCTTTGAATTTTAATAGTTTYCAAAAGTTATACATTTTTTTGTTGTCGAAGGGGCAAAGAATTTGACATTTGCCTTGAACGATAAGTTGTCTCGGGCAGACCGTCGTCTCAAAGCATACCTCAACTTTCAATTTATCAATCTATCTAAATCACACGTAATAAGTACGAGGTCCTGTAATGAATTGTTACGAGCCAGAAAACATATTTATATACATACTGACATACCTGAGATCTATTGGTACTTTCAAACTTATATAATCATACTTGTTTAGTACACATTTGTGGTTTTCGGGAAGCTATTTAGTTAAAAGTTAAAAAATTTACGAATATAAATTGTAGACATTGGATAGCATAACAGTCCTTTMAGTAATTTGTAGTAGGTCACTCATTTCAAAACACTTTAATGGCTATAAAATCACAAAATAAATATAAGTAAAATAAATTCCATAAAAAATAATTACTTTGCTTTTAWATATCACAATAAAGTGATAAAATGCTAAATAAGCGGAAAAAGAAAAATTAATTGGTTAAAGCAAACAAATATTGTAAAACAAGAAACACAAAAAAGAAACAAAAAACTAAAATCAAGGTCTACTAACACTTACCAAGCCCCCGCATTGAGTATACCATTGCTGTAGGTGGAAAGGGGCACGCCGTTGGTGGCGGTGAATCCGATGCTGGAAGCACTTTATAGGAAGCTGTTGTGGCGGTGCCGACGCCGCTAGTGCTACCTTCCGAATCCGAGTGTGAATTAGTTTCCAGACGCATGTACGCTGATACTTTCGACTGTATATCAATCGGTAACTGCAAGATYAAAGTGAGGAAGAGAAAAAAAGTTGCGATTTTACMAATGAAGSTTTTGAAAAGAATTTATTGTTACAAAGTTATTTTTTTAATTAAAAGTTGTTTTCTTGACGCGTAGTTTTCATTGAGTTGAATTAGTATGTTTTGGCAATCACTTACACCGGAACAACATTCGAGAATCGTGCAAAGTTACTACCAAAATAATATTTCGAGAGGACGAAGCTCGTGACACTTATTACGTCGTGTCACGAGCTTCGTCTCTCTTCGGTCGACATAATTGTCCAGTAGAGTCAGTAATTCGAACAATCATGGATCGATTTCGCTTCACATTTACTTTAGTGGTTAATGCGCATACTTAGAAACGCCGTACAGTGCTCACCGAAGAAGTCATTGCTACAGCGGAACARWRTATSGAAGAAGATCCGAATGAGTCCATCCGCCTTCTCGCAGCACAAGCTGTGCGCCTTAACTTTATGAAARATTTTGGAGAAGGATCTTGATATGCGGGCTTACGAAATCTGTTTGGGGTGTTCCTTGGGGTGTTCTTTGGAGGATGATGTCATGTATAGAAGTTTACGAAACTGAGGACARTACTCTGAGCGAYATTCACTTGATGGTGGCCAGAAGCGATTATGGCTCAAGCAGCTCACAACTTCCAGTCTTTGATCAAGTATCCTCTGGGTGGCCAGAAAACATCCGATTGAAGGCGAACTAAAGTGGGAAGGCAAAAAACCACTCCACAGGGTTGTGCGCTGGATTTGGGACCCGCAACGTAAAAAACACTACCAATGAAAAAGCGTAAACAGACTCGGATGAGAGACCCCCCKTTTTATAAAGTCCTCTCTCGATGAATAAATACCAAACTCTACAAGTCACTCATCATCCCCGTCATGATATATGGACCAAAGGCATGAACGATTACAACATTTGGTGAGTCGTCGTTACGAGTTTTCGAGAGAAAGGTTGTGCTGAAGATTTATGGTTCTTTGCGCATTGACAACGGCGAATATCGTATTCGATGGCAGGATGAGCTGTACGAGAACAAAGAGAGAGCGACTACGCTGGTTAGGTCATGTTGTCGTCCSCCTGTATGAAAACATCACAGCCAGCTTTGGAAGAATTAGACGCAGTACCCGCTGGGGGAAGCAGAGAAAGAGTAAGACCTTTATTCCATTGGAAAGATCAACTGGAGAGGAACCTGGCAACACTTAGAATCTCCAATCGGCGCCAAAAGAGTGAATAGGAATGACTTGCTGCTGTAAACTTGTGTATTACCGCGTAAGCGGTGTCTACATTAATGAAGAAGAAGAAGATAGACCCGAACTAGTCTCTCAGTTTTTGAGATACTGGTCTGAAATTTTATGCAAGTCCGTTTCTAAGCAAGAAACTGCTCATGTGTCGGAACGGACAGTGGCTTACTATAGCATTTAACTACCAAATGATCTGAAGTTTTTGTATGGAAACCTTTTTTATTTAACGAGGTATCTTCTAGATCTAAATTTGGCATAGAGTATTACCCGAGGCATCATTACAAATTTGTTTGTATCATTAAATACCATACAAACTGAACTTTCCAAAATAAGTGTTTGTACGAGAACTCTTTAATTCGGAGTGATATCGGCAAGGCAGTGTTACGATTTCCTAAACTATYATTCAGATGGGATCAATTTAGACTATAGTTGCCATTCAAATTGGCCGATCAAATTCAGAATAAATATCCTTTTCTACCATTTAAGGGGTTACATGGGTTTACTGGTTTCGAAAAATCATTTTTTTTTTTAACATTATTAAATTCTAAAACACATATAAAATATTGTCTTAAATTTTTAAGTTGATCCAAGTAATAGTTCCAGAGATACTGCCTTGAGAATTCGTGCGCCCGAGGCTAGCGAGGTTGAGTACGCCATTTTAAACGCCGTTTTCTCGAAACCGTGTTTTTTAAGTCAGTCGGCAAGATGTYTCAAGCACTACTCAACCGATCTTCATGAAATTTTACACAGGTCTTTGAGATACAAGTCTTAAAGCATTGGACGAAAGATTGTTCGATTACAACTATTTGAAAAAATTATCGCGGAATTTTCACTGAAATTTAAATTTTTTTTTTTTTTTTTGTAAAAAGAGCTGCTAAAATCCAATTTTCAGTTCTTTTTCTCTTGTCCAAGATCTAAGTTAAGGTTTTAACTAAAACACGTACTTTTCACTTTACATGATTCTATAAGGAGTTATCTTGCCAACACGGCGCACCGCAATGGCCGAGTTAAAAACTTTTTTTTCCAAAAATTTCTTTGTTAATGGTGTATGTTTGTAACAATAAAAAATTCTAATAAAACATTTAATTTTTTATGTGTGAAAAAATTGTTGAAAAAGGCTGTTTTTTACCCGAGGAAACTCTTGTAACCCTTTAAGTCGTAAAACATACAACTGTGAAGGATATTACAGCTTCAGTACAAGCAAAGTCACCGTACTTTCTTGTGGGGAATTGATTTTACTTACCGATGATACTTTTTGTGGCATGAAACTATCTGGCTTGCACTGCAACAGTTGTATTGCTAAATTTATATCCGACTTGTAGCGTTCCTGAAAAACAGAAATAAAGCAAAGTTGTCATGAAATGTATTTAACACGTTTTAAACTAAATAGCATTCTTAAGTAAGGTAGAATTATAAATTCTAAAGCGTAACAGCACAACACATTTCTACTCTACTGTCGTAAATATTTAATGCACTTTTATTAAAAACTAAGAAGCGCATATTAGCAAAGCAAAATTGTCTCCAAAGACACGCAATCCCAGTTGCACGTGTCAGCTAAGTGTGCCGGGCCGTATGAGCAACCACATTAATTTAGCACTGCACTTGCAACAATGCTTGCTCTCATGCGCACAGTCATACATAGCCATATTTTGCATTTTTCACACTCTCCCTGCATAAACAAACACAAATAAGATTTTCCACAAATAATTTCCGAGTTTGTGAAATATCCGTGCTTTGTTTCACTCACCACACACACACCATTGTGCGCCTGCACTTGTAAGTTCACACACACACACACACACCATTGTGCGCCTGCACTTGTAAGTTCATGTGTGACTGACCCAAATTCTTCAAATGGAATAAAGATTCTCATCAAACTGTAAATGCGAAATACTTGTCACAACACATGTTCCTACAGCTATGCTCAGATGTTRGCAAGGAATGCCTGCATATTCATTTGATAACACAAAGTCAACAGTTGCAGTAAATTGCCTTGTGTTGCAGCTAGTTGTTGCTGAAATTGCCGTCACCTGCCACTTTGTTTTGAATGGGTTGAATTTCACTCTTTTCATTTATTTGCATTCGTCATAAAGTTCCCATTATTTGTTGCTGTTCATATTATATGTGGCATAAACATGATTTTCGGTACATACATATGTATACAGTCAAGAATTGGCAATTTACACATGTGCTTATGTTTTATTTATGTCTACTATTGCAGTGGTTTCAGTGATCGAAACGTAAATAACACAAAACTTTAATAAATTGCAGGTGCTTTTTATAGCCACCTATAAAAATTTATCTATTTCCATTCACAAATATGTTTAGTTCGTGCTTTTAGAAAACCAGCCTTGCGATAGCAACTTTATGTATATAACTAAATATATAGTAATTTAAAGCGGATC